AACCTGTATTATTTCTCTCATCTTCCTTTCCTAGCAGAAAAGGAGATTCCTCACCTAGCAATCTAATGTCTCCTATTACTTTTTCCACTCTCTACCGATCAGATGTGGAGCCTCGTAACTTTCTACTCTTTTATTTTAAATCTGCCTTCAAGTCCTCTGCCTTTTATTTCCAAAAACAAACCAGATGAGGTGGCACATGCCTATAATCTTAGCACTTAGGATGGGAAATTGGGATCAAAAGTTCAAGGTCCTTATTGGCTACATAGCAGGCTGGGTTTTATAAGAGTTTGTCCTACAGCCTTAGGCCAAAGGAGCTCTCGAGCTCTAGATTCCTTTCCCTTCCTACTCCTGAGGGCCTCGCCCCATCCCAGGCTGCCATCCTTAGGAATTGTCCTATGGTTCATGTTAAGCCATGTGCTATGGAAAGGGGAAAGAAATGTGTATTTATACATCTGTAATCCCAGCACTCAGATGGCAGAGGCAGGCAGATCTGGTGATCTGGTCTAAATAGAGAGTTTCAGACCAGACAAGGTAACGGTGAGACTCTCAAAAAAAAGTTTCACATACAGAAGTAGGCTCACAGTGATGAAGCCTATATTATTGTGAGTTCATATATAATATAGTTGACATTTTACTTTCTTTTTTTTGTTGTTGTTGTTTTTTTTTTAGATATTTATTTATTTATTATGTATACAACATGTATGACCAGAAGAAGGCACCAGACCTTATTACAGATGGTTGTGAGCCACCATGTGGTTGCTGGGAATTGAACTCAGGACCTCTGGAAGAGCAGTCGGTGCTCTTAACCTCTAAGCCATTTCTCCAGCCCCCGACATTTTACTTTCTTAACCTGACCTCCCCACTTGGCTAACTGCAGACTCACTCTGCTCGTCTTAATTTATCTTTTCATATTTAGATTATTTGATATATTGAGATTTAGCTGTAATGTTAGGCATTTTGCTATGTACAGCTTGGTTAAAAAGGAAATACAAAAAAAAAATCAGTGATATAAATTTCAGTGTTAACCTGTTAGTTCAAGTCAGCTGTGTACAGTGTTTCCTAGGAGTTAATGGGCACTGAAACAAATGCATGGGAAATAATTTTCCTGCCTTTTTTTTGATAGCCCACAGCTGGCCTAGAGCTTGATATGAAGATTTAATCTCAGAGATCTGCTTGTTTCTATGTCCAGAGTGCAGGGATTAAAAAGTGCAGGCAGTGGTGGCGTGCACCTTTAATTCTAGCACTAGGGAGGCAGAGGCAGGCAGATCTCTGTGAGTTCCAGGCCAGCCTGAGTTACAGAGTGAGTTCCAGCAAAGGTACCAAAGCTACACAGAGAAATCCTGTCTTAAAAAAAAAAAACAAAAAGAAAGAAAAAACCCCCCCCCCCCGACAAAGCATATTCTTTATACAACACTACTTTAGAAGAATCACCAACTTCGTATTATTTATCATTGTTTATCACTGTATTTAAAAAGAAAAGAAAGCTATATCTGAAGAGATAATCCATGAAACAAGATAGTTGGACCTCAGTTAGATGAATGTCTTAGTCACTGTTCTGTTGTTATAACAACACCATGACCAAGGCAATTCTTATAAAAGAAAGCATTTAATTGGTGTTTCAATTAGTCCAGTCCACAACATGGCGGGAATGTGGTGACACTCATGGCACTGGAGCAGTAGCTAAGAACTACATCCTTATCTGTAGGCAGCAGGCAGAGTCTGGACCTGGCTCGAGCTTTTGAAACCTCAAAGCCCACCCCTAGTGACACACTCCCTCCAACAAAGCCACACCTCCTAATCCTTCTAGTTGTAGCAAAGAGTTCCACTCCCTGGTGACTAAGGACTCAAAAATATGAGCCCATGAGGGTCTCTCTTATTCAGACCACCACAGTGAGGTAGTTTAGCACTAATGGTAAGCAGTTAGATGGTCTGTAAGTCTTACTGAAACTTGCCCAGTTACTTAACAGAAGTTGTAAACTGGGAGTAAACATTTGAGGAGGGTTTTAAAGACATTGGGTTTTGATGAATATTCTGACAAAAATGTCAGTGCTTTTTAAGACTGTAATGGTTTATCAAACCTCACAGATTAAGTCAGTTAAATAACTGGACATACAAAATGGAGCAAAGAGACTAGAGGAAGTAGCACAAGCTTGTAATAACACTGAAGCTGAGGCAAGAAGATTATGAGTTCAAGAACACTCTGACCTCCATAGCGAGTTGGAGCCCAGCTGGTCTGCATACTCAGACCTTTGTCTCAAGAAACAAAAGTACTGAGTTAAGGAAGCAGGGGTTATTAAAATAAGATGTGGCTTTAAAACACAAAGTAGGAATTCAGAGAGACTTGGATTTTCTACTAAGTTTTGTGAAAGTGGGTTTGTGGTTTGATTGAAGTATAAATTTGGACAGAGATGGCCCAGTCTGTCAAGTGCTTGCTTCATATAATACATAAGGATCCCGAGTTCGGTTTTGTTTTAAGATTTATTTATTTATTTATTTATTTATTTATTTATTTATTTATTTATTTATTTATTTTATGAATATGAATGCTCTATCTGCATGTACAACCTTATGCCAGAAGAGGGCATTGGATCCTACTCTAGATGGTTTTGAACCACCATGTGATTGCTGGGAATTGAACTCAGGATCTCTGGAAGAGCAGCCAGTGCTTTTAACTGCTGAACCATCTCTTTGGCCCCAAGGATCTGAGTTTTGACCCCCAGCATTGACACAAAATCAGAATATGGCAACGTGCACCCTATAATCTCAGTACTGAGGAAGCAGAGACAGGCAGATAACATGGATACCCTGACAAGGCATTTTAACTGAATCTGTAAAGCATTTTTTTTTTTTTTTTGAGACAGGGTTTCTCTGTGTAGCTTTGTGCCTTTCCTGGAACTCAGTCTGTAGCCCAGGCTGGCCTTGAACTCACAGAGATCCGCCTGCCTCTGCCTCCAAGTGCTGGGATTAAAGGCATGCGCCACCAACGACCGGCCAAGCATATTCTTTAAATCAAATCTGTAAAGCATATCTGAATCTGTAAAGTTCCAAGAGACCCTGTCTGGAAAAAAAAAATGATGTGAAAAACTATTGAGGAAGACCCCT